TGAGAAAGATAAGTAATCGAAATGTGGATTGAAAGTAAGTGGGGTAAGCCTTGAAATTGATATCTTAAGAGTATATAAAGTTGTGAAAAGTTTTATCACAACCATTGTCTATACACTTGTACTTATACCTTTGCTAAATTTTATATATTGTGTTAGATAATTTCTACTGGGCTATGGCTCACTCTATTTGGGAATAACATTTTCAGGTAATGATGGCATGCCTCCACCAAAGACAATAGCATTGGAGGAACCTTTGGAAAGCAAGAGCTTCATGTTTTTTTATATTTTTGTATAGCCTATGGGCTAAATTTGTATTGAGCGAAGCTCATTTTGTTGTAACCAAGCCAAGGCTTGGAAATGTGTAAGCCAATAGGGCATTCATTTATGTTAAACTCTTTGTATTCATTAACATTATGTAATGAAAGGACTAAGACTCAGATTTATTCTATCATTTATATATGTTTGTGGATGTATTTATGATATTATTTTGGAGGCGTGACATTATGGGTTTTGTTTGTTTGTTTTTAATTTTTTTTTTCTTTTGTACTTCAAATAGGTTTTGAGGCGTAATGTGAGTAGATTTAGCAGCAGAGGACTTGGTGTTTCGATACTCCAAAGGACTTCATTCCGATTTTCATAAGGTAACCAGATGATTTCAAAGAAATATTGACATAAATCTGAAATAATGCTAAAAACCTAGTCAATCGAAGATTTTTTTGTCACAGTACCAAAGTTAGAATTACTTCACTCCTTGCCTAATAATAACATTTAATGACTGTAAAGATATTATTCTATGCCTTTAGCTACAAATTGATGTTGCACAACATTTAAATATTGTCGAGTTTAGGCAATAGGACAACTAATCAAAGGATCAAATGTTGTTACCATATTTCAGAATTATTGTGCTTTACTGTCCCGTAAATACACAACTTTATAAGCTACTTCAGTTTTAAACTAGACAATTAACAGTACCAAGTTGAAATGCTACTTCTCCTTACAAAATGAATGATAGATGAAAAAATATTCATGATCGATTAAGTTTTCATATTTTGGTGAATCAGATATTTTAAGGAAATAAAGAAGATTTTTAATATATAAGACAAATTTGGAACACATCTACTTAAAGTGATTCACTTACCACAATTGGTGCAACAATAATGATTAATAACATGCTAATATCATCAGCAGGGCAAAACGATATGCATATGTCGACAACTTTTGATTTATAGGCAGCATACGTTTCAATAGTACAAGTTAGCAAGTAATCCTAATACTACTACTTCTGAGAACACAATCTTCCATTCAAACACAAAAAATTCATGAATTATAGTATTTTAAGTTTTGAGAATATGATACAATTTGCAATTAAATACACAGGTAAATGCCTTTAGTCAATAATGAGGATTGGGATCTTCTATGTAAAATAGAACAGCAACATGTTGTTCTATTCATACAAAGTAATTTAGCAAAAGAAAGGCTGTAAACTTAGTCGAAAAAGGTCGTTTGGGGCGAAAATGCAAAGCAGCTCCCAAACCACTCTATGGATGTCATGGGTAGCTTCTTTGTGACAAATAGGTAATGTGGGGACAGACGGAATGTAATTAGCACACATAGGTTGGGAGTTAGAGTGAAAAACCACTTAAACTTAGTCGAAAAAGGCTGTTCGGGGGTGAAAATGCAAAGCAGCCCCTGAACCACTCTATGGATGTCACATGTAGCTTCCTTGTGACAAATAGGGCATGTGGGGATAGACGGGATGTAATTAGCACACGTAGGTTGGGAGTTGGAGTGAAAAACGCTGTAAACTTAGTCGGAAAAGGCTGTTCGGGGCTGAAAATGCCAAGCAACCCCCGAAAAAGCTCAACAATGAGAATGATCATATAGATAGGTCCATTTATAAGATTCTAGGTGGTTTGGATTGACTAATCAATGGCCTAATGTATTGAATTATCACAGCTTATATGCAATAGTCAAAACCATTTCAATGATCTCTGAGTACAGTGAAACATTTACTCAACAACATGATATTTCTGCTAAATGTGACAACCAAGCAGGGTCATAAAGAAGCAAACTGAAGAGTAAGCCCAATTTAACCTTAATGTTGACCTTCAATCATCTTCTAGTTTGACAAATAAGCATTGCCAAGTTCTTTTACAAAGTAATTTTATGTCATTACTGCTCATATGCTGCAAAACCTTATATTCATTGTCATTTTTTAGGGGCTAAATTTTTTTCTCATTATTGCTGAATATGTTGCACAACTTTACATTAATTGTCATTTTTTAGGGGCTAAATGTTTTCTCATTACTGCTGAATATGCTACACAACCTTACATTAATTGTCATTAGGGCTAAATGTTTTCTCATTATTGCTGAATATGCTACACAACCTTACATTAAATTGTCATTTTTTAGGGGCTACATTTTTCCTTATTACTGTCGAATAGATATGCTGCACAACCTTACATTGATTGTCATTTTTTAGATGCCAATGGATTTTTACTCTTGTGCACTTTGCGTTATTTAGATGCCAATGGACTTTTTTGGCATGGAAATTATGTTCAAATGCTATATGGAATTAATGGGTGTAATTTTTCTTTTGTAGATGGCTTTTGACATAGATATGTGGATCTTCCATTTTTGTGTACAGCGGATAATTTACACTTTTGAATAGTCTCGCTTTTTTGTTGTCAGCTTTTTGTGTGGCATTTGGATAAAATGTACATATAACTTTTGGTGGGGTACAGTATACTTTTGACATGGAACTTGTATTTATTGCTATGGTATGTAGATTACCTTTTGTCGCAGTATAGATTATCATGGGAATTTGTACCATGCCAAATGGTCATTTCGCATCACTGTAAATATATTTTTGTGTACGGAGGACATTGTTTTGGTATATTTATTTGTTAAGTATGAAGTTATTATTTTCAATTGGAATATATACTTGGTTTGTATAGAAGTTGACATTATAAGTTATTCTTTTTTGTTTGATGGTTGTAAGTGAAATATGCGCTATGGAATGGGTGATAATATATACATATTGTTTTGTTTTTATACCTGTTACAGGTTGCGGTGGATACATATAGGTTGTGGACAAATTAATTAAAATTAAAAAAATATATACAATGATGTTTTTGGCAACTAAACAATTTGATAGCCAAAAATGGAGTTAAATATTTTCAGCGACTAAATAGTTGATAACTAAAAAAGAATTAAATCTTTTGGCGACTAAATATGTAGTAGCCATTTAAAAACACTTTAGGTGACTAATTATTTAGTAGCCAAAAAAAGAAAAAACACTTTTTGTGACTAAATATTTAGTCGCCAAAACATAAAAATCATATTATAGGCGACTAAAACTTTGGTAGTTAAAAAACCTTAGACTTTAGGCGACTAAACTATTTAGTAGCTAAACACCAAATCGGACTTTTGGCGACTACACATTCAGAGCTAAAAAAAAGTTAGATTGAAAAAAATATATATTAGCGACTAAAACTTTGGTTGCCCTAGATACTTGAAATTTTGGCGACAAAAATTTTAGTAACTGAAAATGTGATATAAATTAAATTAGTAGCTTTTGGCGACTAACAGATTAGTCTCCAATTTAGCCTCATCAACGACTAAATCTTAGTTTTGTTGCCAATACCTTTACTTTTGTCTACTAACAAATTAGTCAACAAAAATAGGACTTTTGCCGACTAAATAAATTTTTGTCGCCAATACTTTCCCGACAATCTTCTTGTGACAAATCCGACGACCAAAATATTTAGTCGGAAAAATGTTTCGGCGACTAAAATCTTACTTTTGACGACTAAAAATTTAGTCGCCAAAAGTACAATTTCTTGTAATGTTATAATTTAAGCCTTGTTTGGCATAACCTATTTTAGTCTATCTTTTTATATTTTTATCTTTTTTAAGTCACATCAATCAGCATCTTCTCTCTACTTTTCTACACATCTTTTTATAAAAAGTCAAAAAATACACTTATTTAGAACATCCCAAACCACCCCTTAGATTCTTACTATTATTCATAATAATCTGATAAAAAAGATAGATCTTACACAATTAAATATATGAAAAATAAAAAATTGATATGTATCAAGCCACATTATTATAAATCAAACTATAAGATTTTTTTTTTTAAACATTTTTTCGTAAATATATATACCATTCTTAGCTTTCCAAAGCAATCTATATTAAAGACAACAATGCTAGGTAGCTCAAAATTTTGTAGCTCAAATGGTTTAAATCACTCAAAACGACGTCGTTTTGATTGTAAATGAGTGTAAAACGACGTCGTTTTGACAGATTTGAGCTATTTGAGCCACAAAAATTTGAGCTACCAAACATTTTCCTATTAAAAATTGGATCAATCCGAATAAAGCCATCTCAACCTTACCAAACACTTTTAGGGAAAACAAACACCAAACTTAAATTTTACTTATCAAAATAAATTATAATTTTGACAATTCACTAAAGATGGGTGTTTTACATCCTCTCTCAATAAAGCAAATCTTTTTGGTGCAGTATCATATCCACTTTCAAATTATATGAACCCGTAATTATTTTTATACATTTTACTTATATAGGTGTAATGAAGAGGAAAAAAGAAAACCCATTGTCTGGTTAATTATTTGTCCACATTTTCATAAAAGCTCAAGGGTATTAAGCGTAATTTTTCCTAAATTATAGATTAAGAAGTGGGATGGTTTTTTACTCTTTTGATTATTTTAGCCTGAGGCTAAAACACCTGATTTAAAAAGGACTTTTGACTTTTTTAACTTTTTTGTGAAAAAAAAAATGTAATAATTATAAGTTGGATGTAATATTTTATCTTATTAGACTAAAAAATTTATTTTATTTTTTGTGACTATTTTAACCAAAAAAAAAAGCCACAAAACCCACTTCCCAAACATAGCCTAACAAATAAGTATTAGCATTTGTCCCCAATGTTTCTCATGATGAACTGCTTATAAATCCTATGCACAACCCGCCACATTGCTCTTCATCAGAGCAATCAAATTTCACCCTCAATCTGTAACTCTCTCTCTCTCTCTCTCTCTCTCCATGGATTCATCAAAAGTAGAAATGTTCTTCTTACCAAGTTTATTGGGGAGTGGCCACATTATTCCAGCAATAGACACAGCAAGGTTTTTTGCAGCTCATGGAGCTAAAGTGACCATAATCACAACCCAAGTACACGGCCAGCACTTCCAAAAATCCATAGAGAGAGACCAGTCATTAGGCCATGACATCTGCTTCCACACCTTCAAATTACCCACGGCCGAGTTTGGCTTGCCGGAGGGATGCGAGTCTCTCCTCGCCACCTCGGTTGGCATGTCCGAGAAGATTTTGATGGCCTTCACCAAGCTCCATGAACCCATCGAACAACTCCTCCGGGAACGCCGCCCCGATTGCATCGTCAGCGACATGTTCCATCCCTGGACTGTTGATGTCGGTGCTCGGCTCGGCATTGCCAGGATCTTGTTCTATGTTACAGGTTTGTTCCCGTTTTCTGTTGTTGTCGAAGACAACTAGGTGATAATATTTTCTTATATTTTGATTTAAATTTTTCGTCACTGTCATTTTAAATTAAATAATTTGTTTCACACCTTTTGAGTCTGGTTTCAGTACACGCCGGTCCACCTGTTGATGTTTTGATTCATTTTTCTAGGCTCCTGCGTAAATCATGGAAAATGGCAAAAAGAAAAAAATAATAATAATAAATTTGACCGACTTTAGTTGAGTTAAAAAAATAAAAAGTAAAATAAATAAAATAAGTTAAAATATCGAGTTTATATTATAATTATTTTATTTTTTTTACAAAAATTAAAAAAATTAATCAAACAAACTTTTTACTCTCAAGCTAAAAGTCTTAATTTAAAAAAATCAACTAAAAAAACAATGCCAAACGGCGACTAAACTAATCCCGTTTGAAATTTAGAAAAAACATAAGAAGTTTATAATTTTGGTATAATTATATCAATTTCTTTTTTAATAAAATTAGCTCTTGTTTGAAATGAGCTAATTTTGCCTGTTAAAAAAAATTTTGTTTGGGATAAATTTTAACTTCTTTTGTAATTGATTTGATAGTTATGAGGAAAAAAAAAATGATTATTATTTGAAGTGAAATTTAAATTAATATATTTTGTCTTTATTGATTATTTTATCCAAAATAGTTTATGCCAAACGAAGATCGAAATTAATACAAATTATATAAAGACACAAAAATAAATAAGGTAACATATTTATTTGAGTGTAAAAGAGATAGTGTCATTTTTTTGATTCTTACAACTAACAAATTTCAAATGAAAAATGAGCCAAGTTCTATGAAAAAGAGTTCAATAAGATTATGTCAAACTTGAGAGATTTGCTATACTTTTTCTCTAAACTTAGGGGAGTTTAGTTTAAGTTATCCAAAAAAAAATTAAATTGACCAAATAATGGTAGGCACATGATTTAATTATAGAAAAATGAGTTAGACTCCCTTTTGTGGAGTACCTCACAACCCCCTCACTAATCTACACTATTTATGATGTGTGGGGTCCACTCATGTATGTGTGAAGTCCACATCATGAATGATGTGGATCACAAAGGGGGTTGTGGGGGTCCTCCACAAAAGGGGTCCCTATCATTGCTGTTAATCATATTTATGTTTAAAAAAAATGAACAATTGTCATTTTTAAAGATAAATGTGATAAAATTAGATGACTATAATTATAGAATCAATTTAATTTTTATCATTTTTTAAAAGATAAATGTGACAAAATTATGTGGCTATAATTAAACGATCAGTTTTTTTTTTCATAAATGAATGTGATGTATACTCTTAGGGCCTGTTTGTTTTCAGAAATAGAAGGGAGGGGATTAATAGTGAGGAGATTATGTAAAATTGTGTTTGTTTTGATGATAGTTGTTAGTGTAGGAATTGTCAAATTATTTTTATATAAAATAAATATAAAATAATAAAAAAAATACAAAAAAATTAAACATTAATGTTCTTAAAAAAATGCCCAACATGTAAAAAATTTTAAAAAAATAAAAATAAAATAAAAAATTTCCAAAAAAAAAATAAAACAAATAAAATAATGATTTTTACTTAATAAAAAATACAAAAAATTAAACATTAATGTTAAAAAAAATGCCCGACATATAAAAAATAAAATAAAAATAAAAAATTTCTAGTCCGTCGGACTATTTTTCTAATACCAAGTCTTGGAGGCCCATCTGAATCCCCTTGAGGAGGCCCATCCTAATCCGTAGCTCACTATCAATCCCCTTCCCATCTCTCAAAACAAACACAATATTAATAGACCTCAACTCACTACCAATCTCAATCCTCCTCTAACTCTCTAAATAAACGGGCCTTAGACTTCAAGGATCAATAGATGATAAAACAAGACTTATGGACCCACGTGTTAAAACTGGATTGATCTAATTCAGCCTGCATAGCGGGCTGAAAGCAAACCCATCACATACATTCTGATATTGGTATTTAAGAGATAAGAAAATGAGCTACAAATATAGTTTTTATTAGACAATGAAATTTTTTAAATGAAAAGCCAAATTTGAAACTTTAAGCTTTTGTTTTAAAAATGACATAATCTAAAATAAAAAATTTGTATGAATTTTTTTATTTGTATATTAATATTTATAAAATTATGATTCGATGTTACAGGTTTGTTCCCTCTCTGTTGTGAAGAAAGCCTTCGACGATGCACCGCATGAGAAGGTAAATTCTGACATAGAGACCTTTGCTTTGCGGGGTCTCCCCGACAACAACATTATTTTTACAAAGAGCAAAATACCATACTGGTTTAAGAATAAAGGAAGTGGTTGGGGACAATATCTTGACATCATTCTAGAATCTGAGCTCAAGAGTCATGGGGTTATAGTCAACAGCTTTTACGACTTAGAGTCAGCTTATGCCGAATATTTCAAAAAAGAAATGGGTAGAAAGCTATGGCTCGTAGGACTAGGGATGGCAATCTGAACCCGGCCCGACGGGGACCCGACCCCCTGATCTTGATTTGAGCGATTTTTTTTCGAAAAATATCCCCAACAGGACAGGAATGGTATTCAAAAATCAATCCCCGATCACTTTTGGGCCGGGGCTGGGGATACGTGTCACAGCCCCCGTACCCGGCCCGTCCCCGTCCCCGTTTATCCCCGAAATAAAATTACTATTTTAACCCTAGGTATATATATATAAAAACCAACCCCTTATCATACTTTTATTTCTCCCTCTCTGTTTGACCGTGTCTTTCATCTCTCTCTCCCTCACTCACGTCTCTCATCTCTCTCATCTCACTGCTTCTCTCATATCTCTCTTCCTCACTACTTCTCACGTCTCTCATCTCTTTCGTCTCTCTTGTTCTCACTCACGTCTCTCATCTCTCTGATCTCACCATTTCACAGCCCCGTACACAAGACCAGGATCGTGGTTCAATCTGGACAGACCGTGGTTCGATCTGAAGTTACCGATCTGGATCATGGTTCGATCTGAAGCTACCGATCTCTCTCTCTCTCTCGTTGATGAACAAATTTTTTTGAAGCTGAAGCTGTAGAAGCCCTCTCTCTCTCGATCTGAAGTTGCAGAAGCCCTCTCTCTTTCGATTTGAAGTTGCAGAAGCCCTCTCTCTCTCTCTTGTTGATGAACAAATTTTTTTTTTTTTTAAGTTATATATATACATCTGTTGTTGTCTATTTGTGTTGAACAAATATTTTTTTTTAAAGTTGTTATATATATATATATATCTATTGCTGTTGGTGATGGTTGTTGATCTGAACAATTCTTATGTGTGTGTGTGTGTGTGTGTGTGTTGAGAACTGTCGGGGATATTTCGGGGTCGGGGAAACCCGACCCCTGTTAGGGGATGGGGGTGGGGGAGGTGATGGGTTCCTCGTCAGAGATCGGAGTCGGGGACGGGGAGGGTGATCCCCAGCCCCGCCCCGCTCCGTTGCCATTCCTACGTAGGACCTGTGTATCTCTTCAACAAAGAAGTCGGACAAAAAGCCGAGAGGGGCCAAAAGAACTCCATTGATGGAGGTACAATTTTGAAACAGTAATGTTAGGTATCATGAAAAATCTTTCATAAAAATAATCATGAAAACTTTGTGACCTTTGGATTACACTTAGAATAAAGAACCACACACTAATCAAAGTAATTTAAGGATCATAAATCTTTCATGATCATTTTCATGAAAAATTTTTCATGATTCCTAACTTTTCTCTATTTGAAATGGCTCGACTCTAAAGAACCCAACTCAGTACTTTATGTTAGTTTCGGGAGCCAGGCTAGTATGGCTCCCGAACAATTCCTCGAGCTTGCTCACGGGCTTGAGGCTTCTGGTTGCCCATTCATTTGGGTGGCTAGAGATATGTCAAAGTATAGCTAAGAAGAGAAAGAAAAGAAGGAAGGAGGCAAAAACTGAGGTAAAAAGCTTCCAGAGGGATTTGAGAAAAGGATGACCAAGTCCGGACAAGGGTTGATAGTAAAGAGTTGGGCACCACAATTGCTAATCTTAGAACATGCCAACATTGGAGGGTTTTTGGCACACTGCGGATGGAGCTCCACAGTTAAAGGGATAGGAGCCGGCGTTCCAATGATCACATGGCCGTTGGTGGCGGAGTAATTTTTCACTGAAAACCTCATTGTGGATGTGTTGAAGACTGGGATTCGAGTGGGGAATGATGAATGGTTATCGTATACTTGGGAACCTAAGGTGACAGTCACCAGAGAAAAGGTTGAGGCAGCAATAAAGTGGCTAATAGGTGGTGGTGGTGGTGGTGAAGTGGAGGAGATGAGAAGAAGAGTAAAGGAGTTGAGTGAGAAGGCCAAGAAAGCAGTAGACCATGGTGGCTCATCTGTTGCAAATGCCATTGCTTTGATGAATGAGCTTAAATCTCGCCGGAGTGTTTGTGTTGGAATCGGACTATTTTTCTATGTGATTCTCGTTTTTTGTTGTTGATTTAGTTTTGATTTTGGTTTTGATTTTAGTGAGGTCTACATGTTTATTTACAAGTTTGCATAGTGAAGAAGAATTATTGGTGATGATGATTGCAATCGAAGTATCTATGTTCATTATGTGTCAAGAATTTTGATTGGATTTTATTTTCTTCAATGAAGACCATAAAATTGAAGTAAAAAAATCGGTATCGAATTTTTTATTTTTTTTTATCATTTTATTTTATAGAAAGTGTAAAATTTATTGAGAATTCAAGATTTTATTATAATATTAGATTTTTATAGAATTAGGTAAATTAAAAACTTTGAAATATTATTGTATTTTTTATTTTTATCCTCTTTCTGTCTCATTATACTATTACTACTATTTGTTAGTTTGTCAATTATAATTCGACTAATTGAAAATGAAAGCTTGGTATACATGTTCATATATATCATAGTTAATTTGTTACTGGTATGGTTATATATATTAGTAGGGGTGTTCATGGGTCGAGTCGGACCGGGATTGACATGCATCCGTCACCCGAACCGACCATCTCGGGTTGGCTATGGAGGAGCCCGATTTTGACCGGTTGGATGCTCACAACCAAACATGTTCGGGTTGATTATTTTCAGTCGAAATGTCGAAACCGACCTATCTCCATCACATTTCAAATCTAGCCCAAAAAAACAAAACAAAATTTTAACTTCGTACATATATTTTTTTAGATGAGAAAAAAAAAAGGATAACACTTTGTTTGGATTGAGTGATTTGGAGAGAAAAGAAAAGAAATGGAGATAAATGTATTTCTCTTACTTGTTTGGATAACTTAAGTGAAGAGAAATGGAAAGAAATAAAGAGAAATTGAGAGAAACTCATTTCTCTTATAAGCCTCATTTTCAATCTTCCCAAAAGTGGAGAGATTGGGAGAGAAAAGAAACTACTATTTTCATAATACCATTTTTGTCCCTATAAAAATAAAAGAAATAAAATGATTGAAAATATAAAAAAGTTATTTTAGTAATATAACATAAATAATTTCTTTTCTTTTCTCTTAATGAAATCTAACCAAACAAGAAGGAGATAAACCACAATCATTTCTTTTATTTCTTCATTATCTAAACAAAGACGAGAGAAATCACAATCATTTCTTTTCTTTTCTTTTCTTTTCTCTTATAACTTAAGTAATCATTTCTTTTCTTTTTTTTCCTAAGTTCCCAAATATAGTGTAAATTTATGAGAAGAAGAGCTTTGGGTGAGAGAGAGAGAGAGAGAAAGAAGTGTGAAAGCAGAATAGAAAGAAGAAAAGCTTTAGGGTGCGAGAGGAGATTGTAATAACAAAGAGAAGATAGAAGAAAAAAGAAATGAGAGAGAAGAAAGTGAGATCTGAGACATGGAAGCTACAGTGAAGTGATCTCTAATGGTGAAGGCAGCGAAAAGCAACGTCGGTGTCGGTGGTGAGGCGGCGGAGAGCAGCGCTGGCGTTGGTGGTGAGGCGGTGGAAAGCAGCATCGGCGTTGGTGGTGAGGCGGTCGTGAAAAGCAACAACCATGGCCAAGTATGGTTATATTCTAACTAGTCTTCAGCAATTAAAATGAAAATATGAGAACAAGTTTTGAAAATGGAAAGAAAATGTAATGATGATAAGGAGATGGAAGAAGTGAATAAAGTCAGGAAGATGGAAGGTTGAATAAAATAAGGTGCAAAGTTGTTTAAAATAATTATCTGTAGGTGAAAAGTTGGGTAGCCTGTAAAGAAATGAGGAAGATAACGATGAAATTTGAGATTTTCAAAAAAAAGTGCGAGATTTTTTAATATTGTTTTTGTCAAGATGATAAGGTTGTATTACCTTTATTTTTTGATATAATCATCCGACAGCCGACCGGAAAAAAATTAAAATTTGCATTCTTCATTCGTGGCCGACTGAAATGACCGGCGAAACCGTCCTTGAGCTGTTGATCCGAGTCGGGCTAGTTGGGTTGAGCGGGTTGGGTAAATTTTTGAATACGACTGTGATTGAGGCTCGAAATTGCCTCGAATGCATTTTTTTTTTTTAAGGCTAATAATACATTGCAGAAAAAAATAAATAAAAATAATAATAATAATAACAAGCAAAGCATCAACCCAGCAAAAAAAAAAAAAAAAAATTCGAGGCAAATTTGAGCCAAAAAATTTGAGGCCTCAATCATTAATCTTTTTGAATACCCCTATATATTACTAGAGCTGTGATTAGGACCCCCTTATATTCCCACCCCCACCACCCCCACACACACGTGGGGGTTGGTGAATGGGAGAGGAGAAGGGGGGGGGAAAAAAAAAAAAAAAAAAAAAAACAATTTCAACCAATCAAAAGGCAAAAGGGGTCGTGGGGGTCCCTTGGAAAGGGGGTCTCACTCTTTTTTGATATTACTATAAAATATAGGAATAATTTTTAAATATAATTTCTATTTTTTTGATGTAATTAATATAGTCCATCTTAAATAGTATATTGAGGAGTTAGATGATTTCTTTTATTCCCAAAAAAACCAATCTATTTTTTTCTTACTTTTTAATTTTTTAAATTGAAACATCAGTTGTTTATGTTCACAAAACAAAATTGACAAACACATATCCAAAAGTTACACTGTTTTTTTCTTTTTCTTTTTTCTTTTCTTTTTTTTTAATAGGCATGATATTTATAAATGGAAAATGTTTGACACCTCAAAAAACTTTCCATAATTCGATTTATAATGAGGTGGTCATAAGTGTCAATTTTTATATAAATATGAGAAGAGAATTAATCATATTATACATTTCAACCAACTGCATACTTAAACTTTCATTATTTGAAGATGTTATTTTACTATAATTCTAACCAAGAGTCTCTTCAACCCTTAATATTTTTTTATCAAATTATAATTTGATAAAATTTAAAAATATGAAATGTTGGAAATTATTATTTTTTCCATCAAAATTGATGAAAAGAAAAAAAAAATTTTGGTATAAGAAGAAAGTTTTTTTTTTTTAAATTGATAAAAAATTAATGAAAAAATTAAAATAATTCTTATCAAATCAAATGTTTTATTCAAATTTAAAATCAAATTAGATAAAAAAAAATTAAAAAAAAATGAGCTTGAAAATCTTTTAAAACCTTCTTATTCTTAAAAATTAGAAATCTGTATGCGTATTATATTTATATTATATTTTTAGTTATGAAATTAAAATCAAAAGAAATGTAATTTAACTTATTGGATTAATAATAGAAACATCATATCAATTATTGTTAAATATGACTTCACTTCACATTTAATGATAAAAATATGTATTTGTCTTAATTATAACTTTTAATTTATATATTTTCATAACAAGAAGAGGTATGTCATAATGCATTTAACCTCATTTAATTAGGTTTGAGGTTTAACCTTTTTTTTAATTAAAAATTATCAAAATTACACTAAATAGATTTATATGTATTTTTAATTTTTTTAAACTAACAATTTAATAGGTTGTAAACATAAAAGTTAATTTATAAATTTCATATATACCACAACACAAAATATTAAATTACTTCAAAATAATTATAATGATTTTTTTTTTTAAATTTATAAAGTTTTGTGTATAGCACGGGTTACCACTAATTATATGATAAATCAAATATGGTAATAAATTGTGATTATCCTAATCAAAAAACAAGGTTAAAAAGCACCCTTTAACCAATTTAATCTTAATTTTTTTCAACTTATTTAAATTATTTTTGTTTCTTAAATTATTAATAAAAATTATACTCTAATATAGATTTTTAAAATTAAAAATAATAGAATTATAACTAGCTCAATAAGTTTTAGGGAAATTTTTTTCGGGTCTCTGATATTAAGATTTTATAAGATAAATGATATGCAATATTTTCATAGTAGTTAAAATTTCTTAACATTTCTACGGTGAAAATTAAACTTAAAGAAATTTTATCTGAGTCAATCTCTTAACATTTCTACGAAGAAAATTAAACTTAAAGAAATTTTATCTCGACTCAGAGTAATTTTAGTTTTACAAAGAAATTTCTCTGATTTCATAAAAAAAATTGAAATTTCTTTGTGATCATACTAGAAAAATTTTGAAATTTTTCTGAGTCGGGGCCGAAATTTCTCTGAATTTGACAAAATTTATTTGAATCGAATTTTCTTTGTGAAAATATTAAGGGAACTTAGCTAATAAAAAAAAATATCTTAGACTTCTCTTACTATACAAAGTTGGAGAATGAGGTTTCATCAATTTTCCCAAAGTTACCAAACAAATCCACTTAT